ATGACTGAAATTTTCCACTTACCATGGATACGCTTAAACCAATGAGTAGCAGTGTAAAAGAATTTCGACTCAGCATTTTTCTAGCTTCGAACTAACAAAAGTTTACTGTGAACGTATCAATTGGTCGGAATTGACGAATTGATGGACATACGAATCGAACGCAACTTTTTATACACTTTTAAATACTTTAAGGTCACGTCTGATTAAAATGCACACATTTTTCAAGGAAAAAAATTGAAAACAATCGACATAAATTGGTGGAATTTCTGTTCCACCTGTGCACGTGGACATAATTTTACGTTTTACATCGAATGGTTTGCTTAAAAAATGCTAGATGTTTTCGTTCTTTCCTTCATCACCTTGACTATGGTTTGGAAAACAACGCAATTCGATCACTTTGAATTGGAAATTAAAGCAAATATTTTTCACTTCTAGTGCTGGGTGATGTTAGTATGGGACGTAGTTATATGAATATGGATCATCACATCTTCGTGTTGTGAACAAAACAAATTTCGTTTCAAAGTCATTTTAAAGTTAAAAAATATCCGGATGGATTTGCATACGAGTCGAAATGTAACGATGGACACATGTGCGCTAGGGAAGAATGCATGCTCAGACAGAATTTAGCGGAACAATGATTCCGATTTATCGGAATTAAAACCAATCGGAATGATAAATCGGAACAAATGTTCCGAGGTTCCGATTTTTCGGTATCTTTTAATGTAAAATAGTTATTAAAAATACAATTTCAAATTATCGCGTCTATCATTGATGTTCGACATTCGTCGATACAATTGACAGCGTGCAAAAATGGAGACTACTGTATTCTCTTTCTATCGTATTCATAATTCATGCGGTAGCATATTATTTGCATTCTTTCTCTTCATAGGTTCTGACATAGTCTGATCTCGTTGATCCTGACCCCCCCTGGAAAAATTTGACCCCCAACGATTTTTTTGGACCCGTTGCCATTTTCGGACCTTTCTTGTTGTTTTAGAATCGATTTTCGAAAGTGAGGACCTTTTTTTTTTTTTTTAGTCCTCACTTTGTTCTGGATACCGGTTTTACACTAGATAGAATCGATTTTTGAGGGCGAGGACCTTTTTTTTTTTTTGCTCTTCAAATTCGAAATTGCCGATCACCCCCCCCCCCCCGGTCAGCAATTTTTTTCGGGAAGAAATTTACACTAGATAGAATTGATTTTTTTGACCCCCCCTTGAATTTTTGGCTTGACCCCCCCTGAATTTTTTGGTGTCAGAACCTATGTTTCTCTTCGTCTATTCTTCGTGTGATGTGCTGCTGACTTACTGTGTACTGCTTTGTTTGTATGTATATTACTCGATCGCTTTCTCTCTCCCAGCACACTCCGTTCTTGCGATGTGCATGCAATAGTATTGAAAAGAGAGATGCTACTACACGCACACCGCAAGATCGGCCTGCATTACGAAGAGGTGTCCGATTCATACTATTTTTAAGATGAAGAACACTGGCATCATTGCTGATAAGCAGTTCAGCAATATCCTTGTGATCTGAATAATATCATAGGTCAATGAAATAGGTAAAGCAAATTTCGTATTTCATTAACATTACCATCCCTAGCAGCATAATGTTCGTAATTAAATAATAAAGCAAACAACATGATCTGCGAGTCTGGTACGTACATACATTTTATGTACAACAAATTTCGAATTTTTAAAACGTTAAAAAATGTGTGCAAGTGTCAAAATACAATAGATAGAATAGGTTTTAATGGTGTATTTTTCATTCAAAAATTCTCTTTAAGGTTCAAATCACATGCCAAAACCATTGCTGATTTCTAGCTAGTCTTGCTATGGAGATATAGATGGCATGCAAGTTATTGTATACACTTAGTTGGAAGTAGCAACTTGGCGAGCATTTTCAAAGTTCAAGTGTTTTACTTAACACTTGATTAGCCAAGATGCAAGTAAACATCAGATCCACTTATGAATATGTATTGATGAAAAATTCAAAAAGTTTAAAAATGTCTAGAATCTTTATTACTTTTGAATTGCTTATGAAATTACTTAGAAAGGAATAAATTCTTTCAAATATGAACACATTGTAATCATTTGCTGGTTATTGTCTTGAACGTTTGTTGTTGTCGTGTTTGGTAGGTTTCACTGACGTCTGAATTGTTTGAAATGTAAAAAATTCGTTATTTTGTTGACTTTACTTCAAATGGGAGATAGAGTAAAAGTGACACATTTGTACAGTGTTCATAAGTTCATATGGACTAAATATTTTACTTAAATAGTTTAGCAAACATTTAAAGTTTTTAAATGTTATAAAAGAAAAACGTTGATCTTTTTCGGTAATTGACATTTTCATACAAAGCCCAAATTATTTTTCAAATTTTCAACATTTTCTGGGCTAATAAATTATTGTGCGAACAAATAACTCCTCTGATCTTTACATTATAGAAGGAAAATATTCTCCAAAACCAAACATAACCGAGATCACCTCCAAAAATACTTTCAAACCCACTTTTCAACGAAAAGCCTTCTCTGACTCGCTTTTTCGCTGACGAAAACTTTCTTTCTCTCTCTCTCTCTCTCTCTCTCTCTCTCTCTCTCTCTCTCTCTCTCTCTCTTTTTGTTTTGTTTATAATTACAAAAAATGCTGGTTGAATGTGGATTTTACGGATTTGCCGATAGTACTTTGTTATTCGTTTCATTCAGTTGAACATTTTGTGCTTTCTTCAGCAAGCTGTTTCCTTCATTTTTGGCTGCGTTTTCGATATCTGTTTCTTCCACCGTGGCTTTTTGCATGAGTTTGAATATGAGCCAATGGACGGTTAATAGAATGAAGAATAAGGCTGGAAATAAACATACGAATCAATTGTTTCAACAGTTCAAACAAAATGAGAACAAAGAATAAGAAAAATAAGATTCGAACTAGTTTTTTTTTTTCAATCAATAAACACTTTCAACTATTCAACAGTAAGAAGTTATTTTAATGAATAAAATTGAGTATTAAAAACACGTTTGACACCAAACAAATGATAAAGGATGGTTTCAAGAAGTTTTGTTTGTGAAAAATAAAATTTGAAAACAAAATCAAGAGCAGATAATGTTGAGTTAATCACCTGCATTCAAAAAGATGCCGCAAAACGAGGAAATCGCATCTTCGATCATAGTTTTATCTTTATCCGAAATGTTAACAATAAGATAGACCAATGAAAAGAACAAATGGGCAAGCGAATAAAGAGTAGCAAATAACCATAAAATGAGAACAAATACCAGGAACTTTGCCTCTTCCTAAAGAAGCAATTTGAAAGAACAGAAAAAAGTTTATTGCGACAATATAGCAAAAATATAGATAAAAATCAACAAATTCAACATCACCATCACAATTCCATAAGTCCATCCTATAAATGCAAAATGGGACAAAAAAACACAATGATGTTTAACCGTAAACCGTTAAAAATCAATTTTTTCTTTAAATTTTTAAATACAATTTCAAACTACCTGTGTAAACTGTTAGACCTACAACTGTAAAATGAAGAAAATAAATTATTCACACTTTTTTATTCGTTCTAACGTTTTTTTTTACTATTTTATTCAAAGAATGTCTAAGAAAAAGACAGTGCTTCAATGAGTATATTTACGTTTCCATTTTATCGATCGTTCCAATGGGCTGCCTTTCTCTATTGTGCCCATGAACGAATGGTCATTATCACTAACACTGTCGTCACATACGAAATAGATAACTGTCGCTCCTCCAATCAATAGCCCAGCTACACGCAAGCAAAAGTAACTACAACCTTTCAATTTGGGAAGCTTCATTTTTGTTTTCTTTACGAAAAGGCAGGAACTTTGTTTGCTATTTATACCAAGAGAATTGATTTTAAATTGAATTTCAACGAGTTTAATTGGTTCTATTATCAAACATATCCAGGGTTTAATCCAGAATTCTATCACAAGTATCCCAAAATAAGTGTTAATACAATGAAAAATACAAAATGCGCAATTTCCAATTGAATCAAAATTGAAAAAAAGGTTAAAAAGAATATTGTTTTTGCTTGAGATTTTCGTGTCGTCACTGCGTGAGATGAAAATGAGTACAACAACCGTTCAAACGTTCGTCATCGCCTTTTGTGACTATTTGCGCATGTACGCATTTTGTGCGGATCTTGCTGAAAATCACTGATTTCTCCTTCTTTAGAAACACATTGCAAAAACTTTAGTTTTTTTCTCAATTTCATGAAAGAATATCCTTGGTTTTTTTTTTCGGAGGCACTTCCAAAAGAAAATCGATTGCTATTTACTGGCACTAATACGCTTGTTATGTTCATCCGTTGCTTAAAAGTTAACCCACAGTTATTGAACGAATGTAGGAAATATTCACACAAAAAATTGTGTCACAAAAATTCCATAGGAATCATGAAAACATTACCAATTGCCAAACTAAACCCACTGCAATAATAGCATCACTTGAACTGTAATATGAGTCAAACATGGAGAGCTATTCGTCTCAATCGTCTGAAGGGGAAAATTTAATAATAAAAAAAAAACATTGTTTACTCGTCGAATAGTGTTGCTCTGTAGAAATTTGGCGATGTAAACAATCACATCACCCGATTATATGCTCATAGACTGGATGGCGCCGGACTCCATAGCTCAAGTCATCATGTATAAAATGTATAGACGATATTCTCAATTCAGTCTCGCATCGCCAGATGAAGACGTCAGTGAAATGTAGTAAGTTATCAATAATAACGGCATTTACTTGGCTTCTTTTTTCTAGAAAGTGTGAAACTCAGCCAACATTTTTGAACTGAAAATTTGTCAAAGTGTTTCATCGAATCAATACAATTTCGTTTTCTTCTGGACAATTAAGTTTTATTAAAGCACGCATTTTCATAGTCTCAAGATTTTTTTTTTTTTTTGTAAGGTCACACTGATGTCGTCAGTAAATATTAAATTTCTATATGAATTTTGAACACTTTGACTATGTTGTTGGATAGCATCCGTAACAAGCCGTAAGAGAATGTCATTCTCTTCTCATGAAAATGCACTTATGGAGGCTATACAACAATACAGTCACAGTTGAAACACACTTCCCGCTAAATACAAAAACAACAGTGAATATTGAACACATTAATATGTAAAATGTTGAATACAACAGCCATTGGATAATACAATACATAAAACATGTTAATAAGGTTATTGTCATTTAGTTTTTTCTATAAATAGAAAAGCTGCTTTAGTAAAAGATACACTGGGAATCTGCATGCGTTGAAAACACTCAATTTTTCTTCTTCTTCTTCTTCTTCTTCTTCTTCTTCTTCTTCTTCTTCTCTTAAACACAGCACGGGAACTTAATTCCACATTTTTTGTTGCCATTGGCCGTCGCATTCTTCCCTTTGTTCAGCAATGTTGTCTCTTCATTCTGGGTTACGCACGCTTTAATGCCTTGGTCCACCATTTTATATATAAAGTAGTGCACGAGGAGCAGCAAGAGGAAAAATACTGAAAGTAATTTCGAAAGGGTTTAATCTTTGGACTTATTTAATTTTGAATCAACTTGATCCAGTGGCATTTTCTGCCCACGTTTAATTTTGTCAATTTTGTTAATTAATTTACCTGACGTCAAGCTATATTTAACGAGCGACATATACGCTTCGCCCGGAATATCTGCATGATGAATCCACAGCGAAAAAATGGATAATAAAACCGACAACAGTGTGAAGACACAATACGCAAAGGCAATGATCACGACATAAAGCACAAACCACATCAAAATTGATTTTTCCTGTGTGAAGAATTTCATTTGTTTTCAAGATTATGAAACTAGTTTCAGAAAAAATTTGTTGGAAAATTATTTGTTTATGAAAATTTGACGCTTTTCTTCAATTTTTGCCTGATAATTGATTCGATAGGTGACCAAATGATGAAAAAAAATTTCAACAAATATAAGAACAAAACTAAAACCAAATTAATTTAAGAAAAACGGATGAAAATCGTTCAATTTACCAAGATGATTCCCACAATCCAACAGGAGTATATGATCACGATGACGACTGCAATAGAACGAGTTTTAAGTAACAAATAAATGAATTCTCTATCGTTCGTTATAATATTCAGACGGTGAAATGAATAATATAATATCGTTCGGCTTATCAATTTGTCGTATTAATAACTCACTTCTTCGCCTAATCAATCGTTCCTGTGCCTTTCTTCTGCTGCCATCATCACGAATTTTGCCATCGTACATAAAGTAGACAATGGCCGCTATTCCAATCAAAATACCCAAAACTCGTAAGCAATGGTAAGTGATACGTTCTAAAGATGGACACTTGAAATGGAAAAACCGTGGAAATTTCATCACTTCAACTTTTAAGCAACTGTTAAACGAAGCAAGTTTAAATAAAACACAAAAATGATATTCTCGAAACGATTTTACATTCGATTCTGTGTGATGTCGCCGATTCACTGAGATTTGAACAGCTGCTTATGGAGATAAGATGCCCCTGTCTCTGCTGACGAAAGATGTCAATACATATGTTTGTATACTGTGCGATTCTTTGGCTATGTACAATGGACAGTATGCATTACACGCCGGTATTGTCCGCTGAATTGCTGAATATTTTCCCCTTTTTTTTGTTCACACAGCAAAACCTTCGCCACTACTAACAATATTCAAATTGACTGGCTGACAATCATCTGCACGCAAGGGGGAAAGAAATCATCTCCAACAAAAATAACTTCTCTAGTCTCATGCGTGTGAACATGAGAATTCCAAAAAAAAGTGATTTGAGTAATAAAAGCCATTTATATTCAATACTTATACGTTCTTTATTTTTCTTCAAACTCAAACTTTGCGTTTTCCACTACACATTTCAATACAGAAAAGAACTTTGAAATACAAATTTTTCATTGAAATTAAAAATTCAAGAAAATTAATCGTTCAAAAAAATGAAATTTGAATAAAAAAAATTCATTTTAAATGAAGGAAAAATCACCCAACAATTCCTGTAGTGCCACCAACAATTCTATCGCTAAAACTAATTTGATGTACGAAAAAGACAAAAAAAAATCGAAAATTCTCTATACATATTGAAGTACTACTCAGTGATGCAGTGACACCGAAATCTGTTTTATTAAATGTTATTTTCATGATAAAAAAAAGCAAAGCATGAATACAACTACTGCAATGCTAAGTCAATATATCGACTGTGTATACCAAGTTGGGCTTTCAAGATTCAAGCGTGTGAGTCAAATAATATCATATCGGTTTTCGAAGTTGTCAACTCAGTTTCTTCTTCGTCCTTCTCAAATGGAGTGTACACGACAGTGCATTTGTATACGACTAAGTGAGTTATGAATAGGGTGAAATGGATAACTGAAAGAATTTTATCGATTTTTTTTTTCATTAGAAATTTGATTTTTTCGGATATTTTGAGTAAACTTCATTCAATTTTACTCCATTGGATTAACTTCAATTGTTTTTACCTGCCATCCAGCTGCAAAATCCGAGCAAAGCATTCTCCAATTCAGACATAGGCTTTCCAACGTATGAGATGCTTTTTTCTTCTATCTTCTGTCTTCTGTCATAATCAGACCCTTCGATGGTTAAATTGATTATGTGAAAGTCAAATGAACTAATCCACAGGTATAATGACACAAACGCCGGAATAATAAATCCAACCATGAACACGAAGAAAGTGATTCGCATGAATTTTAAGTGTTCCTATAAATTTTGGAAGCAATTGAAAATTAAAGATAGTCAATTCGAATTTTATAAAGATTTTTTGTTGTAGTTGTTTTGTAATTATTTTTATATCGTTTCGGTCCAATCAGCCGGTGTTAAATAAAATAAAATAAAATGCTCTTAGCTTCTGTTTTTACGTGTTTACTTCAATCAAAAGAATCAGAACATGCTTCAAATTCGTTCAATGTCTGTTTCTCACATAAAATATTTAAACCGATTGAATATCCACTTACACTAAGCAGACCATAGTACCAGAACAGCACACCCAAAATGCAAATACCTAGACAAATGATAAGAATGGAAACAGTTTCTTCATGATTATTCATTCACTTTGAATTCAGTGACTTTTTAGCTCTAAAAAGTATTGCCTCTAGACAATGATTTTCGTGGTAAATGGAAATTGATTGCCTTTAAAAAGCTCATAAGTGTAGAATGGTTATGGTAGTTTATGTATTTGAATGTATAGCTGAAAGACATATGAATTTATTCCCACAAACTATTTTAGTTCAACTAAATGGTTGTATTTCTGACCCGAAAGCACCGTTTGTGGAAAAAAAAACCACTTTTCACCCTGTTGACCACGCTCAATACCATTGCGTTTGATTATTCCATAATTATTCTAGATTGTTACGTGATAAACCAAATTTACTTACTACGCCGCACATAATTCACTTTCTCTGCTGCGTCTACCCACTGTACATCCGCCATATGACTATCAACATCAAACACGAAAACCAAAAGTGCCGCGGCTCCAATTAACAGGCCCGACATTTTGCAACAAATCTGCGACTCACGGTCCACAGTTGCTGGTGGTGGTGGCATTTTCATTTTGAATTACGCTTTCCTTTTGTTCTAAATTTTCTTTTTTCTTCAGAATTTGTATCACAAGTTTTCTGTAAAATAAATTGAATGACATTTTTTAAATGCTTTTATTGATTAATTTTCGTTCGCATTTGATTAGTTCATGTTTTTTTTTTCCACAAATTTTCGTTATTTTAAAGAATCTTCTCTCCTTTTTTGAAAGTTTTAATATTTATTACGCACAATTTGTGATTCTTCTTTCTGGAATTTTTTCATTTATTCATTTTTTTCTCATTTTTTTTTCCACTAAATTTTTTTTTCGAAATATCAAAACTCGTTGAACCAGCCCCAAAAAATGTTCAGTGAACATTATTAACGTTGAAATTGTTACCTTTTCGAAAATCGAGGAAAAATACCGAGATATTCCGTTTTCACTTGAAGGTTCTCTTCTGAATGATGTCACCGAATCACTAAATTTTGGTCAGTTGTAGATAACATAGCCGACCAAGCGATAGAAGATTAAAGAGAAAATATGTGTGAAACTTGATGTATATGCGAGTTTTATTTGATTATTGTGTGTGAATTGTGCGTGTACGTTATTCACCGGCTCTTCGCAGAGCGCATGCGTCATTCAGCTCATGAATGTGTGCCTTTCCCTCCTTTCACTAGTTTCATTAGTATTATTTACTATTCTTCTTTAGATTAAGATCGATTCAAGTGAAAGAAATATCGATTCGATGACTTTTGCCGTTCCAAACTAATCGTTTTCTTTGGAGGTTTTCGCTTCGTTTGTTATATTTTACAAAGAATTCGATTTCAGATTTTCCTGTCAACCATAAATTGTGGTTGAATCCATAAAGAAATGAACAAACAAAGGAATAACAATTTTTCAAAAGAGCTTCCTGATGACGAAGCAATTTCAAACAATTCTCTATTAATTCTTTCAAAACCGCAGCCAATAAGTAGAGATTGAAAACTATTGAAACAATTTTGATTGTTGTGCTTTTGAACCTGATTCGTTTTTTTTATTCTCCATTTCAATGAATTCTATCATTTTTTTATCAGAATAAAGGTCCGGCCACTCAAAACCAATTCACAATGTAAACAGAGTTCATTCGCCTTTCACCTTCCTAACGGGACGTGCTCAAAAAATAGAATAGCTCCAAAAATGCTTGTTTAATGATGATTTGTTCTAGAACGCGGGAGTGGTACTCAATTAAAGTGTGCGATGTAAACAAATTTTGAATTTACTCATTTAACGTGATTAATCGTGATTAATGGAAACGAGTTGAATGAATGCCGATATAAATGATATGTTTTGGGAATATTTAATACAAAGTATTTGGCTAAATGACAGTCCACGGTATCTTTTTGTTTTCAAATAAAAGCATTTGAATTTGGATAATATGGTTTTGGATTTGGTTCTGGATTTGATTTGTATACAAATCAAACATGTGTTTTAAGATTGCTGAGCATCTCAGCATTTCGTAAGGCACGGATATATCCGAGCATATCGACGACGCATACTGTATAATACAGTGGCGTGTGTTGCTACGTGCAGCCGCAACGACTCGACCGGAATGTGTATGTTGTTTCTGCGTGCAGCCACATCAACTGAACACACTTCGTTCGAGTCGTTGCGGCTGCACGTAGCAACACACGCCACTGTATTATACAGTATTCGTCGTCGATATGCTCGGATATATCCGTGCCTTACGAAATGCTGAGATGCTCAGCAATCTTGAAACACATGTTTGATACAAATTCGCACACATATCTGTATGTGATATATCTATAGATAGGTTGCAAATATTAAAAGTGCGCTCCTACTTTGCTCCTATAATTGAGGTGTTAAGATAACAAAAAATGTGCGTTGGTTATGTTAAATTTTGTGATTCATTGCTTATTTTCTACGTGTATTTGTTGCATTCTTTGAGTTTAAATATTTCAAGCGGTAATCGATGAGAATCCAAATTTGCGATCTTCATTCTTCACCTCTGACACATCCTTCAAAAGTTTATAGTACGAATATTGAACGATCCAAAGGTACGAGTGAACCACTGGAATGGAGAATTCGTTTACTAGTTTGTTTATGAAATATATATAGCAAAATTGATCAAAATTGATTATCAACTTACTTGCATACACATACGCAACAAACGAATAAACGCTCAACTCATGAGCGATTTCTTCGGTCATAGTACTGTAGTATCCATGTTTCATTCCGGCAAAATTGATATTGTACTTGAAGGCCAATATGAATGGTACGCCAAGTAGGGCAAATATTTCAAGCAATGAAAATAAAAGTTGCGGCACCATCGGAGCGGCCTTTTTCTATTTGAGCCAATGGAATGAAATTGAGTTCGAAAAGTCCAAGAAAGGATTTTGGAAGAAGTGAAGAAAAAATAAAAAGCAACCAAAAGTGAAAAAAGAAATAAAAAAGTGTAAAAAAGAAAAACAAATAGAAAAAAAATGAAAATTTCATAAATTCACTGTAATAAAATGAATTCTAAATGTATTCGAAAAGCTGCCAACGTACGTTGCTTACTCCGTACAAAAAATATCCGCGAATGGTCAGAACTACGCCTGAAAAATAATAAATATTAGTGAAATCTTTTTCGGTCAAAATATGACGAATATGTAGAATTAATAAAAAAAAATTGTTCTGAGGTGAATTCAGTCACTGACTGTTTGCGAAGCAACATCGATGCCACTCATTAAAGTCTATAAAAAATCATTTCAAAATGAAAACAAGAACATTTTCTCGTCCTTCAGTTTTCTTCTTCTTCTGATGAAAGTGAAAAAGTGTGTCTTTGGTTCATTACAACATGGCTAAGGCACACAAAAGTAAAAATATTCATTTAATCCCACACTTATGTGTTCCTTACACGCAATGTGGTGGCACCCTTTTTTTAGAGCATGACATAATAAACTGTATTGAACAGCGTCAAATATTGGCTGAGCATTTACTTACAAACCGGTATCGCCTCCAATCTAACTTCTGCGCTGTTTAAATTTTCCTCCAGGCACCTATACAGGAATCCAAGAAGCGGAACGATTGCAAAAAATATGCCAATCCCAATATTTGCTTGTCTCAACTCAATGTAACCGACGAAATTCGATACATTTGGACACTTCATATTTTAGAGGTGGTGAAAATTTCAAGGCAGTAGAGGTTGGTAAATTTAACGAGATTCAAATATTTTAACTACTTGTTTGGCTTTTCACTCAATATTCAAGATGATTTCACTTTTTTCAACTTTTGATTTCTTCGTTTGTATGTTGGCTATTGAATATTTTCATTGAACCATTTCTCGAACTTTGCGGAATTCAATAAATATTCAAAATATTTGAAGCTTAGAACTTGTTTAAAAGCTGTGAAATATAAACCAACTTCAACGTGTATGGTCTCCAGCATTAAAAAAACTGACGTTTACTGAAGAAATGGCAGAACCGATATGAAGAATATTTCAAATATGAACTAGTGTGCGTTAGAAAATGTTCGCATGCGAAAAGGCGATAGAAGAATCGGATATTTTCGGTTGTTTAGTATACAACTGAATGAGGTGTTCGTATATACACGGAGAATTAAACCTACATCAACATCAACTACGCAATCAATACGCATACATAACAGGTGAACTTGAAATGTGTATTGTGTGTGTATCGCGCAGTTTGTAAACAAAGGTAATACATATCAATCAAATTACATCGTTGTTGGAAAACAGGCATTTGATACAGCTACCTATTGCAGCTCACACCAACTCACTATATACTCTTTTTTTTATCTTTATCCAAGAATGGTCCAAAAATGATGATAATTTGATGAGAAATTAAGAGTCATTAATGGCTGATGATTAAACAATTGTTTCGACTTAACAAGGAACCAATTTCAAGTATAAGTTGGCCTTTATTCCAGATATGAATGGTAAAATCAATTGAATATTCAGTTTTGCGTTCATTTCTTTCTTACAAAACAGAAGATAATGTAGTCAAACTTGTGAGCACCTATCCAAACTTACGTTACTCAAACGAAAGAATAAAAATCTACCCAAAGAAGAAACTTACAAAAATAGATGGCGCTGATGTTAGTGAGTTTGAATCGTTTTGCTGTTGTAATGAACATACTTTATTCAATTCGTATTTTGAAATGAGTTACAATTGTGAAACAAAGCAGTTTGTGATTAGCAATAATTAATGGTCATGAAATGGTATGTATGGTAATTAGGGTAGTCCAAACTGATTTATCATATAAATAATAGGATTCAGCTAGTTTTGTGTTCAGCGTCCCAAAAAACTCTAAAAATGATATTTGACCAGTGCCGGTATTCTGGGACACAATCCACAAAAATCGTTCGGAATTATTTTTTTCGTACATAAGACCATATTGGAGTGAAAGAGAGAGATTCTACTATTTTTCAGCGTGCCACCGGAATTATTTCTTACAAAATCCACTCTTCCTTGAGTTATCGAAATAGTTCCGGTGGGACGCTGAAAAATAGTGGAATCTCTCTCACTCCAATATGGTCTTAAAGATAAAAATAAAGGATAGGAAAAAAATAATTCCGAACGATTTTGGTGGAATGACCTAGAATACCGGCACAGATTCAATTTGAATAACCTATGGGTTTTCTATCAATAAACATATATGTTGAAAAATAGGTCAAAAACAGCCATATTGAGTACGGCTCCATCGACCACTATATTTTAACATTTTTTTTTTATTTGAAAAAGCGAATCAGCTAGTTTTGAGCCCAATTTAATTTTAAGCTTTTGGGAGCATATACCTTACCATGATCAAATCAGTTTAGACCACCCTAATGGTAATATTAGTAATCAGAAGATGAAGCTAAAGGTATCAGTGAATTAACGCCCATCTCAAAAAGTAAGGTGTAAAGAGTAAAAAAAAAACTTTTCTTATTTTGGAAAGGCATGAACCATGTTCGATTTGTGGAAGTAGTGTATTCCAAAGGAAATGTGTAGATAAGAATATAAACTTCAGATCGAAATCGGATCAATTGATGAAATTTATCCTTGGTTGAATCATTCGAATCTAGAGTGGTTTTGGTGAACGTGGCGTTGGTGCAGCAGTTTGATTAGCAGACTTATCATTAATGTTGAACTTCGGAATGCGATCACGTTTGGCTAGAATTTTCGATGGTTGATCGCTGTAATTCAAGCGATTAATCACCGAATTGGTGCGTCTCTTGATGATTCCCAAAAACAAACGCACGTTATGAATCGTTATTTTCTGTTCGGTGAACATCAAATCCAACACCGGCGCTTGGTTATTGTTTAGCATACTGTAATGAAAAGACATTTTTACGTTATAATTAGAGCTATCGAACGCAAATGTTAGAAAAATTGTCGTTGAAAATGAATAGATATCTTATTTACATTATAGATATGGAAAAAGTAAGGCTGCGTACGAAAAACAGAGTTCGAAAAAATGGAGAAAAAAGTGAAAAAAAGGTTTGCCGAAATCGATTTAATCGACAGAGAGAGAGAGAGAGAGAGAGAGAGAGAGAGAGAGAGTTTAAGAGTTGCGAAGAGTTAGAGCAACACATCAAATTTCATCCCAACCAAAAACTAGATAAACCGACCGAACCAAATGTAATTCATGTCATAAGTTCATTCAAATCACGAGTGCCGAGCTGAAGAAATAAGAGTGTTTAAGCAACTTTGTAGGAGGAATGAAAAGAGTACCATTAGCATAATTCGGAATTGCTTTAATTGTTTGTCACGGAAGAAAACACTTGCTTGCGCATTATGATGCTCGCGAGCGTGCAGCCGACTGTGTAAATAGTCATTGTTGCTTTTTTTTTGTTGATGCGATGATTTGAATTCATCACGTTGGTTTTTACCATGCATTTCATGCAAATGCGCCACAATTGAAGTTGCACAACGCGCCCCCGGCTAAGACTTCAACTCTCTCACACTCTCTTGCTCACATTGAGATGCATGCATCAGTTTCAACATATCCACATTCATGTCGGACACATGAGCATAATAACTCAAATGGGTTTTTGTTGCGTTCGATTGTTTAATTGTTCATTTGGCTGCGGTTCAGAAATTACAAACGTAGCTTTTTCTGTGTGGACAAAGTTTAAGAGTTGTATAATTTCACGTGGTTTACGACTTTTGATGAGGAAAGTGAAAAAGCAGCTTGGAAGATTGAGGAGGAATTTTTGATTTGAAGCGCTCTTTTTTGGTTTATATTTGAGTTTTGATTTGTGATTTGAATGCAAATGTGGATTTTATTTTGAAATTGGGTTCGATTCGGGTCAGAGTTAGGAGGAAAGAGAAAGAATTCTCTGAAAATTGATTTTCTGACATAAAAAATTTGTGTTTTGAAGCAAAAACAGCAAAGATCAGAACCGATTACTGACTTTTCACATTTTTTCAACCAATTATCTCGAATTTTGCACTGAAAACTGCTATTCTCATATTTTCCTTCATTGAAAAAATGATTTTTACGTCAAACATTGCATTTTTTCATTAAAAATCAGTCCACTTGTCATTCGGTTTCAGAAATTTTGATGAAAAACTCACCAGTTTTTGTTCAAATTCTGTTTTTTTTTTTCACTTAAATCTTGCATTTTTCGCTATAAATTTGAATTGTATTTGTTCTAAATTTTAAATTTTCCACTAAAATTTTAAATTTGTCCACTAAAATTGGAAAAAATCAGTAAAATGTGTCGTTCGATCAATAAAAATAGTATTTTGCTCATTAAAACGTGATTTCTGAGACAAAAATCTGTTTTTAAAGTTCAAAAAAATGGTATTTTACCGAGAAAAGTATCAAAATTGGTCAAAAATCATCATCTACAGTGCATAACAATGAATGAAATTGAAGCTGAATGCAAAAAACAATTCTTATGCTCGCTAAACTTCAACCATCTTTCATTCCAAATAGAAAATTCGCACGTGTTTCACACTCACCCAAATAGTTTCTCAATGCCATCGAGCATTTCTTCGAGCTTCTTTTCGTTTTCGATGTAAATCTGTTGTGCTTGTTCCGCCTGCCACCAATCGAAAAAGTAACGGATGAAATAGAATGGTTTATTGCAAAGTGCACCAAATATTATATGCAAAGTGCACCAAATGCACACAAATGATCTGTTGCAAATTCCCACTTACCTTGGCCGTCCATAATTGCAATTGTTCTTCGAGAACCTCGATCGTGGAATCGCGTTGCGTTTGCTTCTTTGTCTCGTTTTCAATCTTTTGTTTATCTAAATCACGGAGTAGAAAAACAATAACGCCCAACATAGTAATTTCAGTTGAAGTCAGAAGTGAAAAAAAAAACGGTAATCAAAAATGATTATAGTATTGTTACTGTAAATGCAACAAGAGCCAACGCAGTAAACATTGTTTTCATGTCGTCTCTTTATCAATGAATCTCCACGATAAACGACTCATTTTTCACACATTCTTCTCACTTGCGTTCGTTCGCGTGCATTGTAAAATGTTTACGTTAATTTATTTTCATAGCGATTGTTTTCGTTGGAGTTAATTTTTTCTTCTTCATTCGCGCATCGTTTTACCGTTGAGAAGTTTTATTGAAATCGTAAAATTGAATTATTCAACCGAAGAACGTGATGCACAGCGATGCATTCAACTCAAGTGGAATTTATGATACCCATCTTCCATTTCGACATCACAGCACACAAATCAGCTCACTCTCGATACAGTCATACAAAACGGCCTACGCGATCATCTCTGTTGAAATCATCCAATGACCCACATTGCAATTACTCCGAAGTCAGAAGATGTGATTGCTAGATTTGTTTGGAAAATGCATGAAATTGCATTTTTTCCCCGGGATTTGAGTCTATTTTGGTTTTATCAATGTGTTCTTCGAAGAAGAGAATTGGTTTCTGCAGAAACCACCATGGTGGACGCAACCAGTTATTAGTGGAATGATTTGTTTGGTGAAGTATTTTGATTTCTGGGATAAAACTGGTAGTTTTTCTCTTGTCATTTTTTTTTTTATGAAGCAATTAAAACGATCTTCGAGTTTTTGTGAAGAGTCATTGTGTTTTCAATCATTTGTTTGCGGAGCTTTTTTTTATAGCTACTGGTTGAGTGTCTCTATAGACAAAGTAATACATGTGTTACCTCAAAATATGCGACACACACCCATTTAAAGCATAAAAAGATTTGAAGACATGTATGACACTTCCTTACATAATAACCTTCTTCAACTTACCGATATCATCCTGAATCTTTTGAACGGTTTCATTCAGCACCTCGACCTCGTAGCTCAACTCGTTGACATAGCTGAAGAGTGCAAAATTCTCATCTTCTTGCTTGGTGAAGTAATGCGACAGCTGATCAAAATCTTTTTCCTCTGAAATATTCTGAAAATATTCAATGGGAATCGGAACGAATGAAGATAAAGAAATTGACGAAGAAATTGTTCATTCCAAAAAAACAACGAAATTTAAGCAAACAGAAGAGCTGCTTTGCAAATTTGGACAGGCTGAATATAGAATTTTAGAAAATTTTGATATGAATAGCACTGAATTTTCGCATTGAACAACTCAAACTGGCCCAACAATTTTGAGTCAAAATTTATTATTGAATCGAACATTCTGTTGATATACTCGATAGCATGACATCTGATGAAGTTAAATGCTGTAACGGATTACCAAAGCAGAAGCACATCTTGCAACTGAAGTGTTGTAGTCTTGGAAAAAATGTGTTAACTATCAAAATCAACACTTTTCCTGAGGAAGTTGGGCTGATAGTTTGGTCTTATTGAAATAAATCTCTTATCTTTAGCCGAACTACTTCATTTGCGATAATTATGAATTAAATTTTTCCATCCATTTCTTTCTTTCTTGTCTTTTAAAACTTTGCGGAATTTTTCCTACTTCAAATCTTTTGAACGTCGTCACTTGACACTGACAGTAATTCTTGATACTTTCCATTAATTTCACTCTGAAACTCGTTTAAATTAAACTGTTTTTCAATTAACATACGAGAGAATTCACATGGATGGATTCGAATCATGATTTGAATGATAAATGATCAAATATCGCAAATTATGTTCGATGACTCTGGATTTAGCTCTTGTCTTTGCTCTGACACTCATTACGTTTATTAATTAGCTTAATCAAAATTGCGGATTGAAAAATTAAAAGAAGTTTTCTTTATAAGTATAGGTATCCAACAGATTAAAATGTATTCAAAATCAAAGGTCTATGACATGAGTTTCAGTTTCTCATTTCGAATTATCATTAGCTAATGACCTGAGTCATTCCATTGCGAATGCACTTTTCTGATCAAAATGCGAACGAGTTCATTTTTCATTTATTTTAATGAATTGAATGATTTTAATCATTTCGATTTGAATTCCATTTTAATTAGTCTGAATAATATGATATGAAAACGATTCGGTTTTGTGCGAAAGTCACGATTTGACTTTTTTTCGTCTGCTGGGTATGTGATTATGATTTGTTCATCAATCATTGAAGTGAATCTACTTGCTGCCTCAAAGCAGCCATTGAACAAACAAATGCGGTGGATTAAGACTTGTCTGCATGAGAAACAATCGATTGGAAAATAAGACCCGGAAGACAAAAAATAAGAATTAAAAAGACAAAAAAAAGTGAAGAAAAAAAATTAAAAATTAATTTATTCAATTATTCAACTCAAAGTTTGGCATGAAACTCTTCTGAAGAGTCCTCAGGCAAAATCGATTGACGTTCACAAATGATGCGAGATTGAGTGATAAGTAGTGCGGTAACTTTTACTGTTACTTCCAATCACTCCGCAAATACGACAGCGAAAACAACTAATTTGGTTTGACGTTTCGCTAATTCAACTAGATTTGCCGGTTGAATTTGATTTGGTTGGATTTTGACTTCGATTTGATTAATTAATTATAATCAATTTAACAATTTTGAATTCTGGCGGTCTAATAATCGATAACGAAAACGGTGATTGATTCTCGTTTGTTTTGATCGAATGGATAGAATGTTTCAAATGAATTTGAATGAAGGCATAATAAACATGGAGCGAGTACCCGCCAATCGCTTGAGACCACAAATTTCTCATCGCATTGAATGTTTATTTACCTGCCACACCGCGTTTTAACCAATTGCCAATTGATCGATCAATCCAAGAGCAGTCATAATTCGAAGTCAAAATCAATCAAATGACGCACCCATTGAGGGAGAGGCCGTAAAAAAAATTCGGTCAACTTTTTTTTTTTGGATGAAAGTGAATTTACCGAAAACCGAGTCTGTTGATTCGAGATCATGTGTGCTTCAATTTGATCGCGCAACGAAACTATTAGATTAATTACTTCACAAGTACGCCGAAAGATGCAGAGAGTGAGATTGTTACGCGTGCGCACAATGCCGACAGAAAGAAAGTTCAAAGCACTCCGCAGTCTAGCAAATAATGATCTTGCATCGCACGCTCTCGCTTGGCTGCTCTCGTTTTGGCGTCGCTCGCTTTCCAGATAAAAACGAAACCAACAATAGTAACGAACTGTTTAACATGCAAAGTGAAACTGCGAACGATGATGTGAAATCATCGAATGAAACCGAAATTTTGTGCCCGAAAAAAGAGTGCATCGCGTTGAGAATTTTCATTTGTTCGAAAAGGTTAAGCACGATTTCGTTGAAATGTTATCACGCCTTTCGGATTGTTCAACTTCGTTGAATTTCAAATGAAATGCAACGTGTGCAACGGATTTACCTGAATTTGCTTCATTATGTCTTGCAAATCATTCAATTGTTTGTCGGCCATCTCTTGTTGCAACAGTTTGCGATTTGCTTCTAGTGCCTCCAACTCGGCATTGACACGAAGGTTACCCTTGATTGCGAAGAACTCCTTCAGCTTGATGTCATGGTCTAGTTTTCGTTGTAGTTCACGCATTTCCTGCACAAAAAAAAGAGAATTAAAATCGATTGTTTATTGAATATAAAGAATAATCCAAAGTAAACTCTATCCAAAGTAAATGTTCGTTGAAATTCCCCAAATTTTGAATGATTTTCGAGTGAAAATTTGTAATTTTCTTCTGGAAAACCTCTTAATTTAAAGCGAAGATGTTCAAATTGCTGCATTTTCGAATGACGGTTTCTACGCGCTCTCGCTTTACACGTTTTTATTATCTTACCTGCAAATGAAGAGTTTGTTCATTTTGTGATTTTCCCTCGAGATTTTGTAGTTTATTGCACAATTCTTCTCGTTGCTCATAAGCGGATACAGATTGTTCGATCAAGTCCATGATTAATTTTTTACCGAGTTCCAATTTGGTTACCATTTTTTGCCAAATTTCATTGAATTTCGACCTGAAACGAAATCAGAAAGGAACATATCGAATGGTTTTAAATTCGAAAAATTTATATCACAATTTGGAATTCAATGTCTGAACGAAAGGTTTATTATATATCGATTATAAGTCGATTGAGATTCTAATTATTACATGCACGCTTTATGATGTACATTCACTGATTTACATATCTTGCTGGCTTATCATTGATAAATGCACTTGGATACCGTGTGTTCCCTAGACTTCCGACTAGAATCAGATAGAAAGCACAGTTTTCCGCTTAAATGATACAAAATTTTGGAACAAATCGAGTGGAAAAGTACTAGTCAGTTCGCTTCCTCAGTCTTCATTTTACAGTTATGATATAAAAGATATAAAAGCTAATCTATATACGAATTATTTCGTTCTTTTTTTTTTGGAAAAGACCTTCCTTTTAGATCATTTTCATATTTATGCGCACACACAAAAGTGTGATGATGAACTTCGTCTTCGACAACCAATACCAACGCAAATCAAAACAATTGATTTGTATTGCTGACATCACTGAGTCGGTGTCAGCGTGTTATGGATTTTTGCTGTTGTGCGTGAGTGAAAGAGATTCTCTCACTCTCTCCGATGCGTTGCAATTTCGTAATGTTTGTTTGTTGTCACATTTCTTCTGTGTTATTTTCCATGCGCTATCGTTTCAATGATATTTGGTATTTCGCTCTTTACATTGGCTCGTATACCGCTCGTTCATGGTGATGCTGTACAATAAGCAGAGCTCGATTGCGTTCTCTCTTTAATGCTAACAATTATGAACTTCTGATACTCTTCGTCGAAATAACTTAATATTTTTAACCATTCATGCAAACATACTCTACTTTTTCGAAAACCAATGTGTTAAATTGAAGTATTGGGAGCCGCCAGATGTACAAATAATTAGTTCTATTGATTATGTTTGCCTAGTACTTAAATTCAAATGAATTAATAATATTCACCAATTTGGGCAAACATACTCGCCTTTTACAACAACCAAAGTCAGAAAAACATACTCCTGTTTATTGGTATTCCAAACTAACAAAATACATACTCTTGTTTAACGCAAATTAAGGCTTATGAAACATACTCGCCTCTATCATAGCCACAAACAAGCAAAATA